TAACTTCTGAAGCAAAATTTTAATGAGTTGAGTGGCCATTTTGTGGATCTCCTTTACTGAGATCAGCAGCTGGGCTCTCCTGTCTGCTTCTGCCTGTGCTGCTTTGGTGGGTGTGGTGTAGCCCCCTCCACTTTCTCACTTTCAATGTGTGTGCCAAACGATGAGAAGTGTCCTTAAGCATAGCCCCCTGGAGAGGTGTCTGAAGACCGCCCGTGAGAGCTGGCATGGCCGTGCTGGGTCTGTGAGGGGAGGGGACGGAGCCACAGGACAGGAGGCCATGCCTCACCAGGTGTGCTGGGGAGGGTGCTGGGGGTCCGCGGGCTGTCTCTCATTGCATGCTCGGTGAAGGAATGGCGGCGGGATCTCGGCCCTGACTCTGCTCAATCTCAGCCTCTCTTTTTGGCCAACTCAAAACAGTTACATTTCAAAAGGTACATATGCTGATTTCACAGAAGAGTAGCCTGTGATTCCATGGCCACCTTCACGCCTCCTGAGATACCTGTAAAGGTGTCACTTGTGTTCTGGGGGAAGGAAATGGGAGCTGATGTTTTGAGCTGGATAAGCGAAACTGAAGTGATTAAGGACCAGCTGCAGTTGGTCCTTACAGGGAGAACCAAGGAGAGAAAACAGGAGGCACCCTGAGGGACAGAGGTGTGGGGAAGAGGAGGTGAGTGCTCCAGTGCTCCGGGTGAACCTGAGGGAGAGCTGGCTGTAAAACCGGGGATGGGGTGCAGCATTGATTCATGTGGTGGGAAAACAGCCTCCAGCTTCCCTACTCGATGTCCGAAGATGGTACACATGCACCCAACAGGAGGGACCCTGTCTGAATTCCTGCCCCTCACTCCTCTTGCCCTTTGCACCATCCATGTACTTCAGCCAAGTTCAGTGGAACAAAGCCCTTCTGACACCCATCGATACCCCGGACAGGTGCCAGATCTGCTCTCAGGCAGCTCTTGGGTTGGGCCTGGGCAGCAGGGAGCAGAGAGTTACTTCAGCCAGAACTTGGTGATTAAGAAATGGACAGATTCTAGGAGGAGTAAAGGCTGAGGGTTTGTCTAAAGTTAGCAATTATGTTTTATTTTCAGTATCCTAGGTGTCTGTTTATACTTTTATGTTTACTTGGCACTTTCCTGAATGCTGAAATAGAGGTCAGCGTGATTCCTTTTTTATAGATGAAGAACCCAAGTCTTCGTAATGGAATTGGCTCAGCCCTGACAGACTCACAGCACTGGAATCGGAGCGCCTCCCTTCTGGATCTGGCAAGGACACCCTTGTCTGCTAAGGGCCTGCAGACTCCTCAGCTCAAGCAGGAGGTGGGGGGTGCAGCCCATGCCCCGCATCAGGTCTAGCCTCTCTATGAGGTCCTCTGAGTCTTGGCAGCTGAGGTGCTCTCCCTGGAATGTTCTGCCATACACAAGGTGATGAAGGCCTGGAAACTTTTGTTCCATTGAACTTTGCCAGGGAGCTATACTTAGCTACCAAGTGGGGCCAAGAGTGGGTTCTCAGAGTATAGATAGTAACAAGTGGGCTATTTTCAAACGTCCAGAGAACCCCCAAAATATTCAGGGCCAAAATGATATTTATAGAGCCCTTTGGGGTCTGGAAGGGAAGGCATAACCTTAGTGCGTCTTTAGTTTCATGAGAGAGGTTTCTTTCAACAGGGAGTGGGGTGAGGGACCCAGCCACTGAGACTGGGTGTCCCTCTCAGCTGTTTCCAGGGCTTGAGCTCATGGAGGCCAGGCACTCGCGTCTGTGAGTCGGAAAAGAGTGGAAGTCTGCCGTGCCCAGTAATTTCCTTTCCTGTGCACACGGACGCCATCCTGTCCGCCTATCACGTGCCATCCCAGGAGCCCTTTTTGTGCTGGGAAGCTGCTGTCCCTAAACGTGGAAAAGCCAATTACATGGTTTTTCTCTTGTTCAGAATCCTCTTGGTTTATTAGGCTCCTTCTTTTGCCCAGACTTCATCAAGCTGCCGTCTAAACACCTGCCTCTCACTGCATAGGTCCCAGGCTCCCACCTTGGAGGGAGGTTCCAACAACATGCCCGGAGTAGTGCGACCAAAAGGCTGTCTTTAGGGAGAAGAGTGGGAATATGATGAGTAAAGATTTGATTAGGAGAGGGGCCAAATAGCAGTTCCCCAAGAAGAGAGTTGGTCATGCCAACATCACCTGGGAATGAACATGAATGAGCCTCAGGCCCCTTTCTGATTCTTATTCTGTAGGTGTGGAGAGAGGGCTCCAGAAGCCCAAATGTTCAATGGGCACCCCGGATTAATTCTAATGATCAGGCTAAATAACAAAGAAAGATGGGTCGGGGTGGGCAGCTGTGAGCCCCGAGTGTGCAGCGGGCAGCATGGCCCGTGGGGGACGCGGCGGCCTCACAGTCCGGCTGTTGCCAGCTCGCTTTGCCTGGGACGTCCCCCCCATTCATTCTGTGTCAGTTTCTTGGCAGGTGCTTGGGCCTTTCCTCGCCCCTCTGCCAACCGATGCTCCACTACCCTGCCCTACTCCAGCCCAGATATAAATATAAGAGCATTTTCCATGGGCCGGCACAGAAGGGCAAACATTTGACTTTATTTTAGGCCTGTGAAATTCTCTTCCTTCATGCCCAACAGGTGCATCGCCTCATTTAGATATTGGGGCCCAGAAATAGAACACAATTTACAATATAGCTTCCTTCAGGCATCTGGATGCTATTTAAAAAAAAAAAAAAAAGCCTCCTGCTAGCTGGCCAGGCGCAGCATGAACACTGGCTGGAGCTTTCCCCTTTGCCAGGCCCCGGGAGAGGCACCCACCCGCAGGCAGCTTGCCCCCTCAGCAGAGGAGCGAGGCACCTCGAGAGGCAGCTTGGGGGCAGGACCGTCCTGCCAGGGCACAGGCCTGTTCTCAGCGCCGCAGGATCCCCTGGCAGGGTGGAGACGAGGAGGGGCACAGGCACAGACACTAAAGAGGGACCAGGTACTGAGCAGGGGGACTCAGACCGTTGGAGGAGGCGTTTCTAGTAACTCAGTAAGAACCCACGGACCCCCTCAGTGCTTTGTGGACTGGGGGAGAATAGGATTTGTCTTTCCTCGCCTTAAGCCCAAGCACGGGACCCACCCAGCATCTCTTGGCAAATCATGTGCTCTCATCTGCTGTTGGGAGGTAAATTGTGTCCCTTCAACTTATATGTTGATGTATTAACCCACAGTACCTCAGAATGTGACCTTTTTTGGAAATAGGGAAATTGCACATGTAGTCAAGATAAGATCATTATAGGGCGCGTCCTAACCCAACACGTCTGGCTTCCCTATAAAAAGGGGAAATCTGGACACAGGCAGACATGCACACAGGGAGGACGCCCTGTGAAGATGGAGGCAGAGAGAGGGTGATGCTTCTACAAGCTAAGGAACATCAGAGGCTGTGAGCAGACGAGCAGGGCTTGGGGAGGCCTGGACAGGTTCTCCTCACAGTGCCAGGAGAAGCCAGCCCTGGCGGCACCTTAGTCTTGGACTTCTAGCCTTCAGGACAGTGAAAGCATAAATTTATGCTGTTTAAGCTGCCCAGCATGTGGGACTTTGTTACAGCAGCAAACTGATACATTAGCTAAATTCCCAGTCTCAGAAGCATCTGCATTCTACCGGCTGAGACAGTCTGGTATAGGTCAGGCAGGGGCCTCTCCTGGGCAGTCTGCTTCAAGGTCACTTGGGTCCAAAGAAGCCCCAAACCAAGGTCAGGTTTCCTCTGGGATGCCCCGAGTCCCTTCCAATGGCTGTCATTAAACCAGCCACCCAGGTCCCTTCATCCTCTGAGAAACATGAGGTGGAATCTACAGTGGGGACCGCCAGGGCTGGAACTGCAACAGAGGTGACTACAAAGTAAGATACTTGGCACCCAGTGCGGTCCTGGTAAATGCTCCCAAATATTTTCACATGCGGAGGAGGCTTAGTGGGTCTGGTGGCTCAGGGCCAAGAGGGGGACCTCTGCAGCTTGCTGTGTGGCTCCGTTCCACGGCCAGAACAGAGGGGCCTAACTCTCCCTTGGCCGGGACCAAAAGTGGAGCTGCCGACAGCACAGGCCATCCTCCCGGCCAAGAGGAGCAGATGTTCCCTCCCAACGTCAAGGACTTAGTCAGTCTCCATTAGACTCAGGCCTCCTTCTTCGGTCCTGGGTGCCACCCTCCCTGAAGGGTCCTGCTGGAGACAGTTAAGACACTCTGGCAAGAGGAAGGACCAGTCCAACAGGTGACCACACAGGGCCTGGGCGTGAAAGGAGGCCCCCTGCGAGAAGGAAATGACAACACCACGCTGGCACAGTGGGCACAGGACACTGGGATAGTGGGAGCGGGTGCTTCTTTGTTGGCGTCTGAGTCGGTTTGACAAGGCATGTGTGTCTGGGGCTGGGTCAAAGGTCTGGGCCACTCACTCAGTTCATAGATGCCTGTGGCCTCAAGAGAGGGGTGCAGAAAAAAGGAAACAGTGCTGTGGGCAGACATGGAGAAGTGGCCCTTTGGTGAGTTGGCGCAATGAAGACACACCCTTTTTGTGACAGGGCAGAGCTGTGCAGATACAGCACTGGTTCTCTCTTCTACCTTAGACCTTGGGGAAAATGAACCTCCAGCCAGGCAGCGCTCACAGCCCTCCCTGGCGCTTTCTTCCCGCTGTAGCTTCCTCACACTTCTCTTCTTGCAAACCCTTACTCCTCCCCAGCCCAAGTTCCTGCCCCTTAGTTATTCTTCCACACTGTTTGATGCTGTTCCCATCACCTGTCTCTTTCTTCCAGAAGAAGGCACCCTGCTCACCGGGCCCCTGCCTCCTGCAGCCTTGCTGGCAACCCATAACAGCATCACAGCTTGATGCCGACCCCTAGTCTCCTCCTTTGTGGCTAGGAATCCTGCCGCCTCTGGAGAATTTCTGAGAGCTGGGCCTCCTTTGTAGATGCAGGGGGCTGGGAAAACGCCGACCCTCAGAGGACATGACAGGCCTGAGTGCATAGACTCTTTATTGCCCCACGTTTGTGGGTGGGGACCTAGCTGCTGGCCCTCCTGGTGCTGCTGCATCTCAGAGGTGGGGAGGGTATGGGTGCGCACGTGTGACACGAGGCAGCGTGGCCCAGATTCCACACCAAGGCAGGAGGAGGTGAGCCATGAGGTAGCTCTGCCCGTGCAGGTCAGAGTGTGCAATGTGCTCAGCACAGGTCGGGCTGTCTCCGTGGAGTTGCTGCGAAGAGATCCAAAGGCCGCGCTCTTCGTCATCTTGATGGAGGATTGTCCATGCTGGAGACAGTCCCCCGACAGCCTTTAACTCTTAAAGAAACAGAAGCCGAAACCAGAGCACGTGGAAAATGAAACAGTGGTTCTTGTTTTGCTGAAAGTCGCCCCTGGAAGAGAAGTCCCCTCTAAGTGGGCAGAGTGTACTGGGAGATCCGCATGAGCCCTCGCTCACCCTGGCGGCCCACCGGGCTGCTCTGGTTCGGAGCAGACACAGGCTGTGGCGAGCAGGGGGACGCGCCTGAGAGTGGGAGGCTGAACTCCTGCCCTCCCGGGACTTCTGGCTCCTTTGAGTGCACCAGGCAACATGAGGCTGCCAAGAGGGGTGCCCGCTGTGGTCTCTTGGGCTGAGGTCTTGTCCCTCCTACCTGCGCCAAACTCATACCTCTCAGGGACCGGAGCAGCAGCCAGATTCCTCATGTCTTGCCAAGAGTGACATGCGGGAGAAGGTCTTGGCGCAGCTCTTACACTGGTATTTCTTGGTGTCGGAGTGTGTCTGCAGGTGGGCTCGGAGATTTGAGCGGTCGGCGAAGGCCCTGCTGCAGTGAGAGCAAGCATAGGGCTTCTCACCTGGGGAAGGAAGAGGGAAGGGCCAGGTGTGTGACTATCTGGGGTGTGCTGGGAAGGTGGCCTCAGGGTTCAAGTGTCCCTGTTTATAAATGAATAACCCATCCCTCCCCCTCCAAATGCTCCCTCAATTCCAATTCATCTATCTTCATCAGCCCCTCCATAGAATACAGGTGATAGGGGCCTTGCCCCAGCCCCAGGAGGAGACTCTAAGGCCAAGAGGCCATACCAGCACCCAAGTGTGGAATCCACAGGGTGGAATGACGTACCTGGCCCTTCCTAAGAGCACAGGTCCAGCACAGCTCTTTGCTACATCTACCGCAGCTGCTGGATCTTTCTCTGTTTCTGCCAGAGCTCTCCTGGAGCCCTTTGCCACCCAGATCTGGACGTGAGAAGCACAGGCACCTTCTGGCAGCTGTGCCTGCCCACTGAAAGCCAGTGGTGGAGCGTGGCCAGGCTCCCACAGAAGGCGGGCTGGAAGGAGTGAGCCCTCCCCCTGCGCAGAGGGCATTTAGGAATGGCTAAAGTCCTTGTATCCTTTAGGCCACCTCCAATCGGGCCACTGGGGATTTGGACAAAGTCCTCCTGTTGGGACCTTGGCCCCAGGATGATTCTGACAAGTGTGAAAGGAGGGTCATTGAAAGTCACCTGTTCTCTTGCCTGTGCAGAGCAGCTTCCAATCCTGGAGCCCTACAGGGTCCTGAGAGACACCAGCCTGCCGCCCCCACTGCCCGACACCTGGGCACGCTCCCTGCCAGGCCACCCTCCTGCAGGGACTCCCACCCTCCTGGCTCCCAGAACACGAGCACTGAGTCCCTCGGACGATGTCCCTAAGGACGATGTGTGACATCCTTAGTGAAGGGTCAAGGAAAATGGCTCCTTTCCAGTAAAATCCTTCTTTCCAGCCTCCACCCATGTGTGACTCAGAAGATTCTAGTCACGGAGCCGTGCCTTAGGGTTAGGGAGACTCCAGTTACAGAAAGTATGTGTTGCAACTGTGGGTCTTGACCAGGACCAAACACGTATTCTGGGACCCCTGTCTCTGTTCTCGTCTCCCATTCTGCACGGTGTGCTTGATAGAGTCCCAGGCTCCAGGTGAAGCCCTGGACTGAGGTCCATTTCAGCTACTGGCTGCCCCTGCACGTAGCAGGATGATTCCGCTCTTTCTGGGCAGTATGTTATAATCTACAGCATGAAAAGGCTAAGGTGTTTAGCCCTCCCTCAGCTCCCTGTCCATGTTCCTCTCCTTTCTCTGTTTCTGTCTTTGTCTCCTCTCCATAGATGCTCTTCTCTCCTTTGTTTCCTGTGGGCTCCTGGCCACCCTCTGACCGTGGACAGGTTTGCTCCAGGTCCCAAACTTCTGAGTGAAGTCCCAGCTGTCATCTCTGCCCTTCAAATAAGCTATGACCCCTATGGTTCTTACGCCCTGCCCAGGCCTTTCTTGCTCCCCATGCCTCCTTCCAGAATTCTGGAAGGCTGTGAAATGTGAGAAGTCAGATTCTGCTGAGGTCCTGTGCATCCTACACTTTCCTGGGTGTGTTATGGGTTGAATCGTGTCCTCCAAAAAAGAGATGTCCATGTCCTAAACCCCAGTACCTGCAGATGTGACCTTATTTGGAAATAGGGGCTTTGCAGATGTCATCAGGTTAAGATGAGGTCATGTTGCAGTTTGCGGGCCCTGATTCAATATGACTGGTGTCCTTATAACAAGAGGAAAATTTGGACACAAACACAGAGGGAGGAGAGGCCACGTGAGGTCGGAAGCAGAGGTTGGGAGTGATGTGGCCACAAGCCAAGGACACCTGCAGCTTCCAGGAGCAGGAAGAGGCAGGGAGGATTCAACCCTGGGACACCTGGACTTTGGGCTTCTGGCTTCCAGATAGTGAGGGAAGACATTTCTGATGTTTTGAGCCCTTCAAATTGTGGGATTTTGTGCTGCAGCCACAAGACACGGATACACTGGAGGGCAAAAGCTGTGTGAACGTCCATCCTCTTGTTCATAAAATCTCCTCTTCCCTCTTTCTAACTTCCAGGCCCCATTCTTGCCTCTACCCAGATCCCTCTTGTGGACCCGACGCTCTCCTACCTGTGTGGGTCCGAATGTGGCCCTGAAGCAGCCAGGGCCTAGAGAAGGCCTTGCCGCAGATGGTGCAAATGCAGGGCAGCGTGTGCGTGCGGATGTGCATTTTGAGGGCGCCCAGGCTGGAATACTCCTTGTCGCAGTACTTGCAGGTAAAACAGCGCTGAGCCTGCAGGTGGCAGTGCAGCTGCTGGTGCCTGGCCAACCCAGCCAGTGTGTGGTAGGGCTTGTGGCAGTGGGTGCACTGGAAGCCACCTGGGGAGCAGTGGGCGTGCTCAGCCCCCAGCAGTCTGTCTGGAGCCGGGTCCCCATCTGGGCTCAGTAATGGGGGCCACCGCGTGGGCAGTACCAGCAGTGGGGGCAGGTTGAGGTGGTTCAGGCTGTCTTTGAGGGGTATGCTGGGAGCCCGGCTAGCACAAGGGTCCATCAAGGTGACTTCCAAGGGGTCTGGCTCAGAGGCCCTCCGAGCTTCTGGGAGGGGCAGGGAGATGCAGGTGATGCCAGAGGTGTGGTCCCAGGGCTGGGCAGGGTCAACAGGCATGAGAGGGGCCGCCCTGTCAGGGAGGAGGAGGGGCACCACCAGCCCCCCACAGGCAGAACAGGAACCATTGATTTCTAGAAGGGCAGAAGGAGAGAGAATGGAAAAGTGAAGACTCAGTCTCAACGTGTTATGTCTCAAACTTCATCTCAGGTCCAATTTCAAGCCCATCTTTAGGCCTTCAGCAGCTTGGTATGTAGGGAGAGGCCTGAAAGATGGAGGTGTCAGCTGGGGAAGTAAGGACAGCCCGGAAACCATAGGGTCTAGGGGAGTAGTCTCAGCTCCTCTTTACGAACGAAAAAAGAGAAATACCTTACGGAATCCCAGAACAGCCTTCCCGGAGCCAAGGAAGGCTCCCTCACTGCTAGACGGGGTGGACCCTCTCTCTGATGCCCTGTCCCACCTCAGGTCCTGCTCACAGTGCACCCCCAGGCTCCCATGCAGCATTAATTCAGAGCACCTGGCAGCAGGCCACCACTTGTAAAATAACAATTAGCCTCCAGTCACCTCCCAATTACCCCTCGATATCCTGACATTGGTGCACGTAGGTAGCCTCCTGCCAACTCTCCTGGTCCAGAGGGCTTGTCCTCTGCCCTCAGCCTGTTGTGCCCACATTTGTGAGCCAGCACGCCTCATGCTTGACCTGGAATGGCAGGCCCCCAAAGTAAACAAGTTAGTAGGTGAGAGTTAAATTCTGCATCTCCCCAAAGTCCAAATCTCCACAGAGCCTGCAACCCATTTCTTATTCCTTATGTGTTAAAATAAATCTCTGGCCCCAGAGTGGGAGAGGAAGGGGAAGGGGAGGGAAGCAGAGAGAGCTAACGGGCTGCAGGCTGTTCTTGGACAGTCCATCACTGGGCATGGCAGAGCTGCCCATATTTGCATATTCAAATAGTGAAGTGGGTGCACTGTGTGACTGGACTCTGCACATGGTTTTTAAACTTTTAAAACTATGTCTGATGTAAATTCAGTTTTCCATCATATATATCTGAAACAAAAGTTTTCTTAGACAACCAAAATGTCCTTCAACAGGGAGAGAACTGGATAAAGAAGATGTGGTACATATATACTAGGGAATACTACTCAGCCATAGGAAAAAATACTGCCATTTGCGACAACATGGATGGACCTTAAAAAGGTTATGCTAAGTGAAATAAGTCAGAAAAAGTCAAGAACCATATGATTTCACTCAGATGTGGGATATAAAACTGAAACTCACAGACACAGACAACAGTACAGTGGTTACCAGAGGGAAGGGGGTGTGGAGTAGTGAAGGGTAAAAGGAGCCAAATATCCACATATTTGATGGAAGTTGATTTGAGTTTGGGTGACGGGAACACAATGCAATATACAGATCATGTATCATGGAAATGTACACTCGACACCCATATGGCTCTATTAACCAATGTCACCTCAATAAGTTTAATTAAAAAATAAAGCTAGAAAAAAAAGTTTCCTTTATCTGGAGCACTGCACTGTGATGGTGTCTGTTCTATTTTATTTTATAAAATCATTGGTGATGACTCTACCTTGATTTCAGAACCCAGAAGTGAGGTTCCTGGTCCTGGAAGGTGCCCCCTGGTGGCGGCCCCGCCACAGTACTGGTCAGACACTCCCTCCCCGCGCTGGGTGCTGAGAGTTGGAAAGGTTCTGAGGTGGCCGGACCACCAACAGTGTCTCCCCTTCCCCTTTCCCACGTTGAGTCGTGAAGCAGTCCCCCAGAGGGTCTTAGTCCCAAGAAACTGAGCGAGGAGGGACAACTCTGGCTACTCTAGAGGCCTTTACCCTGGGGCCTCTGCGTGTCCCCATGCCCAGTAGGGAATGGGAGTGAGGGAACAGTGCTGGGTCCTGGACTCCCATCTCCCTACAAACCCCTTGGGGATAGGGTTGCAACCCCTTAGCCCAGCCTTTCCTGGGCAATCTCCACTGGAGTGAGAGGAGGCCAGAGGGAAGGATACCCTCGGGAGGGGTGAGGAGGCACAGGAGGAGCCCTCGCAACGCTAAAAGAGCTGGGCCTTGGCGCCAGAGAGTCCGTGGTCACTCTTCCTGGCCCTGTGCTTACCACCCAAACTAGGATATTCTTCGCGAGTCTTTGAACGGCAACCCCAGGTGGCCCTCCGGCTCTCTTCCCACCATCCCTGGGGCCCCTCCCAAACCTCCTGCCCCAGGAAGATGGCTCCGGGTTTCCTTAGCTGGGATGGGCGCGCCGGGCTATAAGGGGGACAGCCCAGAGTGATTAGAGGCCTAGAAATCTCTTTAAGTGGGGAGAGAATGTCCACGCGCTTCGCTGGACTCGGACTCGGACCACCAACATACCTCCAGCCTCTGGGCCTCGGCCCCAGCAGTGCTGGTGAGCTAACGCCTCTCCTCCTACCTGGAACAGGTGTCCCCCGCTCCCAGGGGCTTCCCTCTCCTGCCCCGCAGGAGCTCGACCCCGGGGGTGGGGTGGGGGGGGGCTGGGGAACCCGACAGCCCCTACCTTTCTGGGTCTCCAGCTCCCCGTAGTTGGGGACCCTGTGGCTGGAGTGCGTTTTCACCAGGAAGGAGCGCGGCATTGTTTCTTGCGGGCGCGGGTCCCACTTGCGAGTCCACAGAACGCGGCTCCGCGGGTCCGCGGCTCCGCGGCAGGTGCGGGGCAGGGTCAGGCTTATTAGCATAGCGCACCGCCTCAGCCAACCAGCATGCGGCGCGGCCGGGGCGGGGCGGGGCGGGACCGCGGCACAGGGCTTTTGGGGCCACGCCCAGGACAGGTGCGCGGCGTGGGGGCAGGAGCGCGTGGCCGGCGTGTCGTGCCCACGGGACCTCCCTGGCGAGCTCCGGGAGTCACGTCGACCCCTGCGGCCTGACGCGCCCACTCGCCGCCGACTAAACCGTGGAAGTCAGGGCGGGGTGCGAGCCCAGCAGGCACTCCAGTGCACACGGCGTGGGAGCGTTTGCGGAGCACAGCCTGGGATAACCCTCGCTCCAGCCTGTTACACACGCCCCACCTCCTGCTCCAACCCGCAACGGTAGGACTGATGAGCATAAGCCCTGAACTCCAAAGCTAATCCAGCTGAACAGCCATAATGGTGACCCCTGGCGTCGGCTGGTCTGGTGGAGCGGGGGCCTTTTCCAGTGGGCCCCTTCTCTCTGGAGTCAATGCTTTAGGAGTTGGCCCCAGGGATACAGAAAGCTCATTTGGTGGGAGAAAGGACACAGCCTGGAATTCTGGAATTCCAAGGTGTTCAGACATGTAGTTATAGGAAGTTTAATCAAAAAGGGCAAAACATGCACACTTCGCAGCAGCCTGTTTGTGACTGTGGGCAGCCATGTTCCTCCTTCAGTGTCCTTTGGAATCCTCAGTGCCACAGAGAGCTGGGTGAGTCAGTTCTGGGTGTCTGGTCCTTTTGGATATGAATGTTTCATGAGTTTAGGGGTCAGATGGGGCAGTCACTGGGTGGGTGGACACCACACCTGGCCAGCCCCCTGAAAGCCCCAGATGTTTCTATGGCTGTGCAGCAAGCCTGCCTTCCCGGTGGGGACTTTTGAGGCCTGGGTGCTGCGTTGGTGCCTTGGTGCTCTTTGATGCTTCAGGGGGAGGCATGGTAGTTATGGGGGTGAGTCTGTAGAAGAGCCTGTGCAGACAGTGGGAGGGAGGGCCATGTCACACGGTGTCTTACATTCCTACAGTTTTGCAGATGAGAAAACAGGCTCTGAGAATCTGGGAAGTGATAGAACTGGGACCCGGGCCACACTTTCACCCTAATCCAAGGTGTGTGTGTATACCCCATCTGTTGCTTGGTGAGGGTGCATGGAAAGTCAGGTCATGCACATACAGGAGAAGACGCTAGTCTTTCCTACGGGCCATGGCCTGGCACCATGCTGCCACGCATGTGGCTTTCAGGGGACACGTGACTGCCTTCTGCTTATTCACCTGTTCCTAGGCCTCGAAAGGTTTCTATTTATATCCTCTCTTCCTTCCCTCTTCCCCTCCCAGACGTAGATAACACTTGCAGATACCTGGGCCAACTCTTTGCCCACACTGTTCTTCCTCACTCAGCTACCCATTGTGTGGCCGCTGGCCAAGATGACCTCCTTAATCCCCAGAGAGACACTCTGTTATTTAGGGAAGCTGGAGCACTCCTGTGGAGAATCTGCTGATCTCTTCTTGGAAACACACCGGGGATCCGAGGGTCCTGAGAGAGCCTTCAGGTAGGGGCAGTTGATTCCTTTCCTGGAGCTGCTGTAACAAATGACCCAAAGGGAAGTTTTCAGTCCCTGCTAACATCCCAGAACTGCCCTCCCTTGGCGGCACTGACTTTTGACTCTGGGGACCCAAGTGGTTCCAACAGAGGAAAACCTCAGCACCTACCTGTCCCTTTCTGTGCACTCCCAGGAGAGGGGTGCAGCTGTCCCTATTTGCGCTGCTCTGTGTCCTTCTGCCTTCAGTACAGCCACTGTGCCTGGCGGTGAAGGCTTGTGCCCCACCCTGCAGTGGGAAATAAACCTTCTCAGCATCCCTGCCTCTCACCCAGAGCAGGACTTGCCAGGAGCTGAGGTTTACCTTTCCAGCAGAGACCATAGCAGTCTTCCCTGGGCACCTATGACCTGGGGGATGTCAGCTTCCAAGAGCCAGGCTGCTGGCCCTCCCACCTGCCTCTGTCAGTGTGGGAACTCCCATTCCCCTGGGCCAGATGGGAATCATCCTTTGCTTCCGCACAGCACCCACATGTGCTCAGGTCCACAGTTGTTGTTCAGCAATACTTGTTGGACTAGATGGAAAAGCATTGAGCCCTGAGATAACATGGCCCCGGGCACACATGTCCCTGGGGGTTGGGATGAGCTCTTGTTTGTGCTCTTGAGTGCAGACACATGTGTGAAGGGACCAGGCTCCAGGGGTGAGCCTGGTGCCAGGACTCTTGGAATAGTGCTCAGAACTGGGCCTTGAAGCTGGGGCTCGTCTGTCCCAGGCTGCAAGCAGATGGCCCTCGCGCTGTGGGCATCAGCCACTGCAACAGGGGCCCCTCTGTATCAGTTTGTGGAGCATTCATGGAGGGAGGGTGGGGGAACCCCATGCTACCCAAGGCGATGAAAACTTGGATCCAATGCTCCAGCTCCCAACAATTGGCCAGATTGGTGGCCAGTGTGTGTGCTTGGTCACCCTCAGTGAAGGCAAACTCACTGCTGCTTACAGCTGTTCATCTCATTCCATTTTGGGGCCTGATTGCTATTGGTGATACTGGATCTTAAATAGAGGTTCAGCGGACTTATCCTGTGTGAGAGGGGACATCGTCCCTCTACACACAGCCTATAAGGTAGGCAATGGAGGCCTAGACACTTTAGGGCGTGCCAGAGAGTACGATGTTGGATGCCGAGGAGGGTCCTGGGGGCTGGGGCAGGACAGGTGAGAACTGAGCAGTGACCAGGCAGGGGTGTGCTGTGTGCATCTGTGTCAGTGTGTGTGCATGTCGGTATGTGCACATGTACAGACCTGTATCCTGTACATACACGTGCAATACATGCATATACATGTGTGTGCATGTGTGAGGTCACAGGAGCTGTTTTCATGTGATACAGAGGCCAGGCATCAGCGGGTGAGCCCTGGCATTGAAGCGAGGGGTCTGTTGGGTGCACAGCTCAGTTCCCAGCTCCTCACCCCACTAAACCCTCTCTGCACTCTTCTCTGTCCACGCAGTGGAGCCGGCCCCAGCCCCCAGCAGATTGCTGGAGAGACTCCAAAGACCATGTGTCGGGTCTCTCACAGTGATGGGTTGGACCTCTTCAGGTGCCGATCCATCCTCAGTGCAGTGTCTGAACCTCGACACTCACTATCTTGAGTTCCCTTGGTCAGTATGCTGTGCTTCTTTTGCTCACCCAGCCACCAGGGCACAGAGAGCAGCAAGGTCTGACTTGTCCTCGAGGTTTGCCAGAGAGGCATCTCAGCTGGCTCTAACCTCTGCAGCAACTTCCAGTCAAGGAGCTGGGCTGTGCCAGCCAGAACATGCCCAGGACTCCAGGATGCGCCTCCTGGGTCCTAGGAATCCTGCTGATATTCGGCCAGGCCTAGGGCAGGCTCTCTAGAAGCCGCTGACTGCAGGATCTGGCGTCCCTTCAAAGCACACCCCAGAGGAGCCAGCAGTGGGTCTGACAGGTTCACTGGCCTGGCATGCTGGTCACCACATTCAGTAGGACACCTGTGTGGGAGCCCACTGGCTCTGTCCCCAGGCTGCTTCAGAGCAGTGGGTCAAACTCTCAAGGGGCCCTCAGCAACTCTGGTGCCAAGTGGAGGTTCCAGTACCCTCTAAAACCCACAAGGCAATGGAGAATGAGTGTAATAAGAATACAGCCACCAGTTGCCGCTCCTTTCCAGGTGGCACGAAGCTGGAGCTCATGCCTGGTTCTTCCCTATTTGGTGCGTGCTGACAGTGAACTGACAGACAGCATCAGGGGTTAAAGCATTTGTCCTGCAAGGATGTTGAATGTTGAAGTCCTAACCTCAGCACCTGTGGTTGTGGTTTTATTTGAATATAGGGTCTTTGTAGGTGTAGTCAAGGTGAAGTCATGAGGGTGGCCCTGGTCTGAAAAAAGGGGAAATTTGGATACAGGCACGCACAGAGGGCAGATGACCCGAAGGGGTGCCCTTTCTTCCATGTAAGTCACTCCTGGAAAGCGCCTCTTGGTTCCCTGATATCTGTGACTTTCTTTGCTAGGAAGGAAACTGGCTACCAGGCCACCTAAAGGCAGAATAGTCAGGGCACAGGGCCCCCTGGCCCGTGTTGGGTTCCCTTCACTAGCTCGGGGCTCCCGAGAACTGGCCACCGGCTCTGGGCACACGGCGGACACACAGGGCATGGCTGGGCATAGCCACGCATGCCCACTGCAGAGCGGCCCCCTGGCGGCTCGGCTCAGGCTGGGTGTGTGGGACTCTAGGCTAGTTCTTTCAGGAAATACAAATGTGTACAGGGGCCTGGCACCAGAAAACAAGTGGACTACCTGCTTTATCTCATCACCGGGGACCCAGACACCTGCCACACAGAGCTGTACCCTCCCTCTGTCCCCTGGACATGGTACGTACTGCCCTGGGGAGATAGGCTGAAATCACTGCCCCATTTCCTGAATGAAGAAAGAATTTCCAAGAACTTGTCACAAGAGGCAAATGGCCTGACATGCCGCAGCTGTGGCTCCAACATGGACTCTTTCTACGGGGGTACCTTGACAAGTCCTGCGGCATCTGTCGGGGACAGGATGCCTCTGCCCCCAGGGCCTGGTGTGAGAGAGGGCACTTCCTCATGACACAGCTGCAGCGAGCCCGCTCATGCGGGAGGGGTCTTAAACTCATTCACAGGACATCCAGGGCTGATGGGGTCCGAGGCGCCCTCCCACAGTCCGCCTCAGGGACGCACCTCTAGCCGCACGCACACTCTCAGTCCGTGAGAAGCAACTAGGGGAGGCTGGCCTCCCAGCCACAGCCTGGGCTTCAGCCAGGGGAAAGGACAGATGAGCCAGCGGGAACAGGGTGGGCTGGAACAGGTCAGTTTTCTCTGAGGGCGGCCCTCACAGCCACGGGCCGGGCAGCGGCTGGGCTCCTGGAGTGGACTCCTCTCCCAGCGAGGAGCAGGAGAGG